CAAATATCTACTTGTATGGTTTCAAGTATCAAGTATCTTGTGTTATAGATTTATGCCTACTTACATGGTTGAAGTATAAAGGTCTCTTTTATAGACAAGCTATTTGGGAATGTGAAAGTTGACGACTATGAGTGCTTTGATGCCATGTTTCTTTGAAGTACACTGTACATGCATCTCTCAAGTGTTTGATGCTAAACTCTCTCATTGCCTTTTTAAATAAGTCCATTTTGGTTGTGAGTAGTGATGGAGGGTAGGAGTAGCACTACTGGTTTGTCGGGTTGCCAATCATGTTTCCCAACGCCATGGTGTCGTATGGTCATGAGTGCATCATTGTCTATACTTTAAAACTCGTCTCTGGTTCTAAAGTAAATTACATGAAAATCTTAGGATTGAAGCTTGAAGTTTACATGTTCAAAATAATCTTCGTCATGAAGGCATCCGTGAGGCACGATGAAACTTGTTCCACACAAGTCTCTTGCAGAGACTTTAATGCTGTGTTTGGTTGGAGTTTTTGAGGTGAGATTTGAAAAAGGAATGAGAAATGTAATCCTATTTATGTTTGGTTATAATAAAAAATATATGGGAAAAGAAATGGGGTGAGAAATAAATAAAGAAATAGGATACCTTTTAGGACATCAATTCTATTTTATAACCAACACAACCAAACATAGTTGGGATTTGGAATTCTATTAATTCTTTCTCCTTTTCCTTTCATTTCCATTTCCCTTTCCATTTCCCTTCCCAAAACTCCCAACCAAACACAGCGTAAAGCTTGCAGAGGCAGAGACTTTAAAGCTTGCAGAGGGTTTCTGAAATGCATTCTGTTATCTTATCATTCTTAGCTGCCCTTTTGTTTTCACGACTTTCTTAAATTATCAACAGTGGTATATTTTCAGGACTTGGGATTCTGTTCTTTTATTTCAAGCTTCTTTAACAAGTAGCTTGTAGTTGTGAGCATATATGTCAATTACTTACAAATAATCTTTAGATCTAATAATAATTTCTTGGTGGTTGATGCTGCATTATAGTTAACTTCTTCATTTTTTTTTTCTTTTTTTTTTTCTTCTGGAAATTCTATTTTTGTTTAATGTCTCGAACTATAACACCTCTTTCTCCCTTGTTCCAATCACTTGTTTCCTTTTGTCTCACATGCCATTTCAATTAGTAGCATTTGGGAACGATTATCTAGTTGATATTGACTTATTTGGTGCAGTTAATAATTAGTAAGTAAAAATTAAAAGTATATCTCTCTTTGCTTTTTAATAATCAATATTTATTTTTAGTTAAGCTATAAGTAAAAATTACAGTAAATATTTTGGTACAGATTTCCACAAAAAAAATAAATAGTTGTAACAAGTAGTCCCATATAAATGGTTATTATTTTTATGTCAAGTTTCAAATTTTTTAATTTTTTTTTTCCTATAGGATTTTATATTCAAATATAAATTTTGATTGAAAATTTTTGAAAAGAGAATTTAAAAATTTTAATTTTTTTGAAAATTGATATTTGAAACTAAAGTTAAAACACTTCAAAATTTAAATGCAAAATATACAAATAGACAAAAATGATTAATACTTGAAGATGGGGGTGGACAAATCCCAACTGATTTGGACTTACACTCTATAATAAGATTATATGTTTCAAGTCGGATCTAACTGGATGTTGGATCTAATTTAACCATTTTAAGTCTAACTCTAAGAAAAAATTTAAATTCCAAACCTGCCATCCACTTAACCCAATAAACCTGAACCATTATTTAAGATCTTTTATTCATTACTAGTTAGACCTCCACACGCTTTGCGCGTGGGCGTTGCGCCATCATTGGCTAAGAACAAAGTCGTGACAATTGCGCTATCATTGGCTAGGAATTATAGAACGAGATAAAGAAACGACAAATTGTCATAAATTCTCTAAACTTTATTGTATGAATTGAAAAAGGGGACAAAAAAATATAGATCAAATAATCAAATAATAAGAAATGAGGTAATTATTAGAAGGCTTGATATAGAACACAAGGACCAATATAATTAGCCAACCAAAGCCTGACCCTCCTGCCCTATATACTCCATTGATTTGATATAATTTGCTTTACAGCTGAAAAATATGATTCTTTTTTTTTATACATAGTTGAAATAGAGGAATACATAACAAATTAAAACATCATATTGAGCCATGACACTTCACAATAAAAAATGTAAAGTTAAAAATCTAATCATTCCCAAAATTAAAATTTGTTAGATACCATATGTTCTGAGAACAAACTTATTAAGGAGATATAAAATTAAAATTTGTTAGATACCATATGTTCTGAGAACAAACTTATTAAGGAGATATAAGCCTCCAGTAGGGTAGCCCTGAAACCAATTCCAAACCCTTGAGTTGGCTAATTGGGTCAGCTTCTTCCCTCTTGGAGAAGTGTTAACTGCAGTAGCCTAAAGAGATCAGAAAAAAGACATCTAATGTAGCTTCTGCATTCTTTCTCCATAAATGCAATAAAATTGCAATGACAATAATCCATGAGAGAGAAAGAGAGTAAAAAAATGTTGGCCCAAACTTACAAGTTTCAATGGCCAAGGATATGGACATGCACTAGGAGAACCACAATTAACAGCCAAGATATTGACACCGTCTTGTAATAAGACATTGATAGAGGATATATACATGCACAAGAACAGTGAACTGATGTCACAGTTTCTTTCTGTCAAGAAGTGGAATAATGCAGATAAAAATTAAATAATAAACAATAGAAAATAAAGCAGAACATACAATAAATAAAGTTACACCAAAAGGAAATATAACTATAGAAAAACAAAGACATGAAAATCGTTATAATACTTCAATGGTACATCTCATAATTTTCGTAAAATACAAAAACAAGATAAATTGTTGTAGAGAAACTGCTTATGCACTCATGCAACAGAACAAGTATCATGAAACTTTTGAATTAACTCAAAACTATTAAAAATAAGGATTTATTGATGCACAAAAAACAAATTGAAGAAAAGACCATGGACTCCCTTCTAATGCATTACATATCAAAAGTTCAAACTACCTCCTCTTGAATATTAATCAATCTTATGCGGGTTTCTTTGTAATGCCCTCAAAATAAATACATAAACCAATCATTTATAAAATCCATAGACATGAGAAAGTAAAATATATTCATTCATCAGAGTGTTTCTTACAAAAGGTATTACATGTTGACAATAAAAGTAAATGCCCTACGGGTTTACAACTTTCCAAGTCAACACTTGGTTTCAACAAAAGAGAGTTCTAACTCTACACATATTAAGCCCTTGGCTTGGTTTACATGTAATACAGAAAGGTAACAACAAAAATAAGTCTTCGGCTTCTAAACCTCCCAACCTACATCCTTGGAGGCGACATATCACCTGTACCTAAAAATGATGTCCCATAAAGGGTGAGCCAAAACCCAGTAGAGATACGCTAAACCAAATATGAGTAATAACTAAAACATTAACATTTGATAGATATTTAACTCATATAAACAAACGTACATCTCTTCCATAACCAACCCATATTCACAAGTATATTCCAATCCCTTTTCCGTTTCGTTATTCGAATCAATTCATAGATATGGTTCTCTGTTTATCCAGACAGTTTAAAATGAGACTACAACTCATATTAACAATACTCCGATCATAATCATTTAAAATGAGACTACAACTCACATTATTAACACTTCAACACTTCAATTCAAAATGAGACTACAACTCATTTTATTAACACTTCAATACTTCAATTCATCTACGTTATGCAAACGTAATTAGGATTTCGAGACTTTCACCCTGGACACTCTGGCCAACTTAGTTATCAATGGAGTTCATCCCCTATCTCCTCCCAAATCATGGAGTACATCCCCTATCTCCTCCAAAACAAAATACATATGCAATGTATTTAAACGCTTTATCATATATAATGATCAATCCAGGCACATATTCAATGTGTTAATTTATCAGTCATATTCAATGACATAAATCAATTAATTAGTTTTAATTCACCTAATCATCATGCAGTGTCTACAATAAGCAAGACTATTCTCCACCAATAGCCCAAAATAATTATCTCTAAACAGGTAAATAAATATATCAACATTTTCATAGGCGAGTGATTAATTAATCCAACTACACCATTCACTCTCATGGCTTCCCAAATTCATGATTTTCAACTCAATTTCATATTTCCATATTTCCCCAAATTAATTATACGAATTAATTATTCAATTTAATTAGGGCATTTTTCCCATTTTCTCAACTTTAGCCCTAAGGCTCAATTCCCTCAATTTTATACCAATAATCCCATTTCCCAAAGTATCACATATACATTGAGCTTAACAATTGAAAACCCCCTTTTTATAATCTCAACAAAAACCCTAACTTTCCCAAAACTCCCAAACAACACCATCTATACGAAATACATAACATTTATGTCAAAACTCATAGAAAGGAGTAGGTTATCTCTACCTCAAATGAAGAGACTCAAAGGAGAAAGAGGAAGAAACTCAAAGTGCTCCAAAGCTCAACTTTTTCGGATCAAAATGAAGCCCACACCAAGCTCTACCTTTTCTTCAAAGAGACTAGGGTAGAGACACCCAAGAACCAAGTGTATTTGTAGAGAGAAGGTGCATGTAGAGAGAGAGTGTGCCGGATCTAGGGTTTGAAGGAAGAAAAGAGTGAAAAAATGTGTAAAAACACGCTGCTGCGAACTGATATACTCGAGGCTCGCTTGAGCGAAGGAGTGGTCGCTCGAGCGACTAGACACAAAAGAACCTCGCTCGAGCGCAAGAAGCGTCGCTCGAGCGAACAATGCGAAACTTCAGGTCTGCAACCTAGAAGCACGCTCGAACGCAAGAGTGCTCGCTCGAGCGAAGAAACTCAAAACATAGTCCTCGCTCGCTCGAGCGAAGAAACACAACCTTCAGGTCCAAACTAGACGCAGACGCACGCTCCAGTGCAAAAGTGCTTGCTCGAGCCAAGAGACACACCACTCAAAGCTCGCTTGAGCAAAGGAATCCTGGCTCGAGCGAAGAAACTAAAACCGAAAGCTCGTTCGAGCGACAAAAGCCTCGCTCGAGCGAAGAAACCAAAATCTGGGCAGCAACTATTTATTTCAAATCACAACCAATCTGTTTCAAACCTGCCCAACATATCCCAAAACTCAAATACAAAGAATCAAAGGATGGAAACGAGAATAAGACAACAACATACGTCCACAGAACCAAGTCCAAAATACAATAAACAATGAAGGAAAAATCGAGATCGCTATATTCTTCTTCCCTATTTCTATAATAAAAAAAATATCATATTTTGTCTTTATTAAAAAACTTTATTGGCTTAAACAAAAAATCTACTGATACAAATTTTTAGGTATTCCAAATCAGTCATGGCAAAGAAACAAACAATTGGTATTAAAGTAAACACACTCTACTACTTAAGCAATCAAAAGAAGGCTATTCAAAAACCAATTGGTACAATTTCTTAAATAAACCCAACCAAATCAAACAAAACCTTGCGTTCTAATTTCTTGAATGCATAAAAAAAATTAGAAAGATAAGGGAAGAGAGTACTTTAGTGCCAATCAACACCATAAGTACAAAAGGGCTGACTTGGGAAACCAACACCAAAAGTGATTCCCATGCTTGTTTAATTTCCACAAGAACTGAATTAGGAAATGCAATCAAACTGGAATTCCATATTTAGCCTAAAGCTAGTTGGGGTAGCTTTTGCCCAAATGCTCTTTTCCAAATGGGGCTTTCAATTGTTTCCCATTTCAATGTTTTTTTCATTCCACCCTGAGGAAATTGATAATTTCCCAACCGCTCCTCTGACGCAAAATAGACAACAAACAATACAAAAAGAAATTTCTCGGCCCCATAAAACAAGAACAAACATTGACAGAACATATATAACAACTTAAATAAATATTAGATATAGAGATATGTAGCTTTGAATTCTATTGGTTGTAAAATTGCTTCAAGGAATCCAACAAACAAAAAACCACACACACACACAAAAGAAAATAGAAAAAAGAAAAAGAAGCTCACCTTGATCATTTTTATCCATCTGTGCCTTTGTTTCATTAATTATTACGAAAACAATAAACACTTGAACACCAACAACCAAGAAAAAGCCCACGTCGAAAGAAATAGTTCCTTGTACAATCATCACAAGGCAAGGCCTAGAGTGGTAAATAAAAATTGGAGATGAGTACACACACTAAATGAAGGAAACTTAGAGCAAACAAACCATGAAATTCCTTGTACACACACAGAAAATGCTCAATAATGGAAGAAACTAAGCAATAACATTATGATGAGAGAAATGTTTTACTTACATTTTCCATGGTAGGTAGTCCCTTGTCAAAAAACCAAATGATTCCCAAGAATAAGAACAGTAAGCAAAATGCTGTCAATCCCAACCCAATCTCTGTTTCATCATAGAGTTTCCAGTTCTTTCATTAATCAGAATTTTGAAATGCAACAATTCGTAAAAATAGAGTTGATGTTATGAACGTGAAGAACCTAAATAAGTTAATTGCTTTGTATAACAAAATAAACATATAGAAGAGTAACTATCCAATGTCAATAAACACCAAACAATCAATAATGGGATTCGAGCATTTCAATTGCCAAACCATTTTAAGAACATAGAATTATAATTCATACCAAAAAACAAGAAAGAAATCATCAAAATGGGACAACTTTGACTAAACCATATGAGGGTTCCAAGCAATTAAATTACAACATTATATCAACCTTCAAACCAACTATAAAAGAATAAAAGTTCATAATAAATCGTTCAAGAAACTTTGTAATCACAACAAATAATCTTTGTTCCAAACTGTATCAAATTATCAAATTACAAATAAAAACAAAGCAACCCAGTGCACGAGCTCTAGCTAATTACAAATGTTTCAAAGAACTTATACAATTGTAGAGAATGAAATTGGTGCCTTAAATTGTTCACCAACGACTTGCTTGTAAAGATTTGGAGTGCAAAGAGGTAAGACACATAAGCACCATAAGCACTCCATTTATCAAAAAAATTCCAAAGATCAGCCAATGTAAAATACTCAACTTTTTCCCTCTCCCAATGGTGCCAAAGCTTGTTAAGGTTTCTAATCTCGATCTATACAAAGATCATAAATCAATCAATCATCCTTGTTCTCCCTTCTCTATCACTTTCTTGATAATTCCACCATCCTTGTAAACATTTACTACTGTGATCCATGAGATGAGATCCACTTCAAACTAAATAACACAAGGAGATGAAAAACACAACCATATCCCTCCTTCTTCATGGTGATGATTATATGGTCCAATCCAATAACCACTTGACCTAACCAACCCATCAACAAACCAATCAAGTTGAAGGAAAACCAAAAGTAACTCAATGAAAATAAAGAATCATTTAGAGAAGCCCTCTAATTTTTTGGTCTACATATTAAGAAAGTTTAGATTAAGAAAGGTCTTTCAAAACAAACAATGACCAAATAAAAAGCATTTTTTAAATCTAGAAAATTGTGAAAGCCAACAGGTTTGGAAAAGAAACAAGGAAAAAGGCACCAAACATATATATATATATATATATTTACTCAAAACTTTAGGAAGTCATGGATGATTACTCTTCCTCTTGTACTTTCATTAAGTTTTCTGTTCATAATTTTAGTATTTTTTTTTGCAATTTCCCTTGATTTGCATGTTCTCTGATTCTTTTTCATGTGAACTCCGAAATTAACCATATAATTTTATAGTTGTTTTGCATAGTCTATAGCTCTTACTATGTGGTCACCCTTTTGGGTGTCTTTGGATGTCTATTATGAATTTATGATGATATTTCAGTGCTTGGTTTTGATAAACTTCTTCTAGAATTGGTGGTTTGTAAGCTCTTTTTTCATTTTGTGCTTCATTAAATTTGATCTTTATATTCATGGCATGATGGGTTTTTAGTTTGCTTTTGATGGGTTAATGTATATGCACACATGTTGGTTTGCTATAAAATCACAACATTCTGTTTGGATTGTTGTTTTTGAAATTGGTTTGTGATTAAACCTGGTAAACTTAACAAAGACTATCGCTTTAAAACTATTACTCTAGATTCAATATGTAGTATTGATATAATTTAACAAAGTTTCTCTTCAAATCTTTCAATTTCAAATTAGCACATCCAAATGAAGCCTATTTATAGTTTTATTAATGTCTTTTCATTTGTTGTATTTGATGTTGGAGTCCTTGGAAATCTGAGAACAGGTGGAGGAGCCAATTACCCAAATCAAGTTGTTAAACTTTTTGTTGATTTAGACATATTGACAAACACTTGGTGGGCATCTACTAAACACATATGCAAGAATGAAAGCATTGTAGGTGAATATTGTGCAACTGACATATAAACATCAAAATACGGATATAATTACCAGGATTTGCAACGGTGGAACCAGAAATTTGGATTAGCAACTTGAACAGCGTTACGACAACAACTATGCCAACAGTGATGTAAAGAACAGTGTAATACCAATTCTAGCGAGACTATATATTTATATAGTGAGAAATTCAATGTGTGTGAGCATTCACCCATTTTCAATGCAAGTTTTCAATTATAGAAGCCCTCTAATTTTTTGGTCTACATATTCAGGCATATTGTCAAATAGGTGGTGTGCCTAATTTGTGTAAGCACTAACAGACACCCATGAGAATAGAGGCATGCAAATAAGATCTTAATGCATCCATAGATAGCCGAAAAAGGAGTAGAAAACCACTAAATTACATACCAGATGGTGGAGTTTGGTCTATAGTCTGTGAACCCAGAAACAACGAAGCTGAACCAAGATAGGAAGTGAAACAGAACAAAAAGTATATACATATATGGGTTTGTCTTTAGCTGAGAAAGAATTGTTTGATTGCAAATTTGATCCATCGAACAAAAGAAAATTCTAGGAGGGGAGAAATGGTGATCTTGACCTGGTTTTGTTGCAGTACTTAACGGAAGACACATACACCTACCTCACTCAAACGGCGCACGGCCAAGAAGATAGGTAAACCATCAAATTGGGAGGAAGAGTTGAAAAATGGCATGCAAGTGAATTCTTTGGGCCGAACCACCACTTCAGTTTTTAGCACATGGAGAATTCTTGGAAAAGCAATTGAGGGATAGATAGATGGTGGGTAATTTGCAACCCACGTGTCCAGCCCACATCTACAAGGAAAAACTAAAAAATAAATAAATAAGTAAATAACTCAAGGAAACTAAACTACTCAACAAACATAGCACAAATCCAAATTCAATAAATAGCTCAAGGAATGATATAATTCTTAACAAATTTATTTACATAAACAAATAGCACAAATTGATTCTTAACTCCCAATAATATTTAAGAGTAAACATTTAAAAACACATAATCTTGTTGTTCCTCAATGATATACTAATATTATTACTGTCAAGAGGATCAAATTCATCTTCTAGATCAAAATAATTTTGTTGTGAAGAGGATCTACCAATTTTCTTGGTGGATTTAGTAATACCATTTTTCAAGCTAAAGGAAGACCATGTTCTTAGATGAAACCTAATTTACTTCAAGAAGTTGCTTTTAGAATCCAAACAAATTTAATCCATTTACCCAAAATACTCACCCAGCAATTACACAAAACAAAGACAGAAGTTGGGTTGGGCATACTAATATTATTCCAGGCGGAGAGAACAAACTAATAAAAAAGCAAGGTTGTCATCATCAATCAAGAAAAGTATGTTATTATTGGGTTGGGCATATTGTCAAACACATGGTGAGCACAAGATAAAATTATAGCAGAACAACAAAACAAAGACAACACATAGTTTGAGCCAAATATTAAATTGAATTGGGGCAACAGAACAAGGAAATCAAATACATACTGTCAAACAAAGCACCCTAAAAAACCTAAGATCTTTCACCAAGAACCCAATGTCATATGATCGAGCACACGGTGGAAACACAATTAAACAGTTGTGAGGATCAAGAATAGAGCCCCAAATACATAAATTAGGAATAATTTCATAATTGACAAAAGAAAGAAGACACACCTCAGTTTCTGCAGGTTGTTCCAGCTCATAAAGCATACACCAATCCAGGATGTATGGCCATAAATATATTGAACGTTCTGTTTCGGTGATGAGTTTGAAAATCCACTCAACTCTTGAAGATCTTCCACCGTTCCACCGATCGCACCACTCAACTCCTGAAGAGCTTATCGGTTGTGTCATCATCTTATCCCTTCTTGAAGGTTCCTGCTGCTTGTGGTCTTCCTAAAACGGTGATAACGGTGTATGCGTTTTGTGCAAGATTCTAGAAGGGAGAGCTGGTGGCCTCCGATTGGTTGGTTAATCGGTTGTAGATGTCATGGCTATTGTCGTTGTTACGGATTGAGAGAGGCATAGACAAGCACCAACGTTACACCACTGTTATATCCTTTTTATATATGTTATAGATTTGAATTTGAAACATTAACAAAATTTAATAGTAAAATAAATAAGATTTTTAACAAATATTTTAATTAAAAAACGAAATATGTATACATTTTTTTGTCTTATATGTATTTACTTTGTTTTATAAGTAAAATAATATAAATTTATAATTAATATTTTATGAATGAGTAAGCCAGGTTAAATTGGATTAAAATTTTTTATCTCAAATTCAGTTTAAATATTAAATGGGTATAAAATCTTTACCAGGCTTATGGACAATAAAAAAAAAAAAAGAAATTTGGCTATAAACTCCTTTTACCTTCTTTTTATTGTTAAAATGACCAAGAAAAAATTATATTTTCAAAACCCCCTCATAATTATAAAGTCTTGTATAAATGACAAAATTTATTATTTAAATATTTTATCAGACTATTATACCCTCAACCACCTTCTCTGCCCACTCCTCTCCATCCCCGACGAGCTCAAAAGTAGGGCCAACCCTTGCAAAAAAGCCTAACGAACTGTGAATCTACATTCAAACATTCTGGGGAGTCCTTTGATCTGTGATCTGTTTCGGTGGCGGTGCAGTGTTTCACGACTTTGATCTGTGTCACGACCTCTCATTCCAGAGATTTCCATTGCATTTTCTTCACATCTTCGATGCTTTTGATCTCAAGCAGGCATGGAGCTCAAGTGGCCATGAAGCTTAGGCAACCACTTTCCCAAAGAGAGAGAGAGAGAGAGAGAGAGAGAGAGATTGATTGTTGTTTCCAATTAACTTCTTTATTATTATTATTATTATTTGTTAATAGATCTAAGAGTAAAATTTGAATCTGGTTCATTCATTTAGTACGTATTTTATTTTTTGTAACGGAAAAATTTTACTCTAGTTAAAAACATGTTGATTTGCTTAACGATATAAAATTTTACTTTGAATCATAGTAAACTTCACTTTGATTCAGAGCAAAATTTTACTTTAAAAGTACTATTTTACTCTGAATCAGAGTAAAGTTTACTATGATTCAAAGTAAAATTTTACTCTGAAGTACACTGTGATGATGGCTTAATTGGAGAACTAATAGATATGAGGGTATTATAATAAAATAAACAAATTTTAAAAGGGTGAATTACGCTAACAGTCCCTATAGTTTGGGACTTGTGTCATTTTTGGTCCCTGACTTTTCAATTGTAACACATTTGACCATGAATTTTGAATACTGTTCCAAATAAGGACAATCGATGATATCATTGGATTTTTCAAGGGCAAAAATATCAATTTGATAAAATATAAATTAATTTAACAAAAATAAATTTTTAAAAAATATTTTTGAGTTTTTAAAATTTATTTCTACACACTAAAGATAAAATTATGTAAAATTGATAAATATTTTAGACATTTATTTATTTATTTTTACTAAATTAATTTTTATTATGTGTTTGGATGATAATCATGTAATGATGGTTGTTTTTGTTTTCATTAAATTAGTTTTTATTTTTTCAAAAGTCAAACATGACAGCAACTTTGATATCATTATTAAACGAGTAATGGTAGGGATCATGAAAAAAATATCATGAAATGCATCATGAAAATTTTTCATCCATTGATTAGTGTGTGGTGTTTTATTGTATGTGTAATCCGAAAGTGGAGAATTTTTCATGATCTTATTCATGACATTTTTTTTTATGATCCATAGCATTGCTCTTATTAAACCAATCCATTAAATCGAAAAATCAAAAACTAAAAACATTTCATATATTAAATATATCGATTACCCATTACATAATCATCATTCAAATATATAATAAAAATTAATTTGGTAAAATAAATAAATAAATAAATATTTAAAAGATTTATCAATTTTACATAATTTTATCTTTGGTGAGTAGAAATAATTTTAAAAATTTTAAAATATTTTTTTGATATTTATTTTTGTCAAATTAGTTTATATTTATCAAATTGATAATTTTGCTCTTGAAATTAAGCAATGGTATCTTCAATTGTCTCTATTTGGAACAAGATTCAAAATTCAGGGTCAAATGTGTCACAATTGAAAAGTTAAGGACCAAAATGACACGAGTCCCAAACTATAGGGACTGTTAGTGTAATTTGTCCATTTTAAAATATTAGAGAATTTTGAAAGTACCTATATAATTCTTATCTTTTTGAAAAACAAATTAGAAGACCTATCACCAAATCTCCCATAAAAAAATATAAAAATAAAAAATAAAAAATATAAATTGCTTTTGGTTTTTGTTTTTGGTTATATTTCTAGGGTTCTGTTTAAGTGTGCAACCCCCTTAAGGTTGCACACCATATGCAACCCAATTGTTAGTCGTTAGATTACAATAATTGATCAAGACCATTGAATTGTTTAATTGTGAAAAAGTTGAAACCGGGGCAACCGGTTAATGCTTGTATTTGCATGATTGCATCCTACTCACTCTCTGTATTTCATCCCCATCTCTCTCTGTTCTCCTCTCTGTGTAAGGTTGGGTCAGTGTAACTGTTGATTTCCATTAACAGCGAGAAGCCCCTGCCGGGTTCGTTCCATTGACGAAGGCCTGTAGGGAACAACATAATGGGCGATTTCCAACAACAACGTAACTACAAGCTTGTGTTGGTTCCATTGCTGAAGTGAAGCCCTTCTCTCCAACTAGATATGAGGTATGGAGCTGTCTCCCTCTCTGTCTCTCTGGCCTCTTCACTTCAGCTATTTTCCGTCAACTAAACCCCCATCCTAACTTCAACCGCTCTACGCTTCGCTCAAACGGAAACCCCTCCATTGGCAACTAACCTTTCTCTTTCTCAAGCGAGTGTTTGTATTTGCACAAACAACTAAACCATATAAAAATGTCATGTTTGTGTTTGTGTTAACATTTTTCGGTTATCAAGTAATTGTTTGTACTAATGTCATGTGCAGTATGGCCCGAGCGGAAGTTAAAAGGGAAGGTGATAATTATGACATTCCAAATGAAGCAGATGACATTCGTTTGATGAATGAAAGTCGGGTGAAACCTTATCATGGTTGCGAAGCTAGTCTGAACAATGAAGAAGCAACCAACATGAACGTTGAAGATGGCGGAGCCGATGTGAAAAAAGAAATGGTTGACGATGCTCATGGCAATGACATGGTTGGTGATGTTGAACGTGCTATTCTGGAACAGAAATTTGATTCGGTCAAAGATGAAAAAGCTTTCTACAATGCGTATGCTAAAACCAAGGGATTTAGTATACGAAAATCTAGATTTAACATAAATAAAGAGGAAAAGGTCGTTAGTAAGCTGTGGTTGTGTTCAAGGGAAGGTCAGACATTACCAATATACTTGGACCGTGTTGCTAAGAAGAGTAGAGCTCCCAAGGCACTAACAAGAATAGGTTGCAAAGCCCAATTTCGCATACGGTACGATGCAGATGCTGGTGAAGGGGGAAAGTATGTTGTGACTCACTTCGTCGCAGACCACAACCATGAATTGGCGAAACAACACTGTGTGATGTATCTGAGGTCATATCGCAGTTTAAACAGCGCTGACAAAGCTCAAGCAATGGCTATGCGCAACGTTGGTGTGAAGACTAGCCAAATCATGGACTATATGGTAAATCAATCCGGGTCTTATGAGAATGTTGGTTTCGTCCGTACGGATCTGCACAGCCATATTCAAGCCGAACGTAGAGCAGAAGTTGAGGATAGTGATGCATAGGGTGCGTTGGTTTACCTATGTGCAAAACTTGATGTTGATGCACGTTTTTTTTACAAGTATGATGTGTGTAACGATGACAAGTTACAAAATCTATTCTGGGCAGATTCGAAATTGCAGGCCGACTACGCAAAGTTTGGTGATGTGTTGATATTTGACTCAACTTACAGAACCAATGCATACCAGAAGCCTTTTGTCATGTTGGCTGGTGTGACTAGCCACTTTAGGACCACGATATTTGCATGTGTTTTGCTAGCTAATGAGACAATTGAGACATACACATGGGTTTTGGAAACATTTATAGAGGCGATGGGCAATAAAGCACCTGTGTCCGTACTGACAGATGGGGATAAGGCGATGCGAGAGGCAATCAGAAGAGTATTTCCAGACGTAAGACATCGATTATGTAATTGGCATCTTGGGAAAAATACTATTTCAAATGTTCAAATAAGTGGCTTTGCGCATGCTTTCAAGCAGTGCATGGACATGGAAACGGATGAGACAAAGTTTGAGCATGGCTGGACGACAATGGTCGAAAAATTTGGACTTCAAACCAACAATTGGGTGTTGGAGACATATGAGAAGCGTCATATGTGGGCTGAGGCATATATGCGTAGATATTGCTTTGCTGGGATGAAGAGCACTCAGCGCTCGGAGTGTATGAATGCTTATTTCAATCCCTTCCTCCAACACAAATTGAAGCTATATAAATTTGTTAGGCACTATGATCGGGCTCTTGCAAGGATAAGATATAACGAGGCTGGAGATGATGCTGAAACAAATAACACTTTTCCGGTATTGATTACTTCATTGCGAGATATAGAGAGACATGGAGCTGAGCGATTCACCCGAAATATATTTAGAATGTTCCGTGATGAAATCTTAGAAGAGGGGAAGTTGAATGTCAAGGACGTGTTCCCTTTGCCGGATGGTCAGAAATGCTACTATATTCATAAGTACAAAGTGAAGGACATATCATGGATAGTAACACACAGTCCAGTGGATGCTGCAATGAGATGTTCTTGCATGAAGTTTGAGTCGTTGGGGCTACCTTGCTGTCACATGATATGTGTTATGAAAGTCGAAAATTTAACGCAAATTCTCCCAACTTGTGTGATGCATAGATGGACAAGGGCTGCAAGCAAGGATGGCCAGCAATGGCCTCAACCCTCGATTGATAGCACTACAACACAAACGGCCTGGTATGGGATATTGAGTTCTTCCTACAACGAAATGTGTTTCTATGCCTCGCAATCAACGGAAGGTTTCAAAGAGGCTAGGGATGCATGTCTTCCGATGACGAGCCGGATGAAGGAGTTATATGAGAGGAATCTGAACGATGGGAATGGAGACAAAGGGAAACATTCATTCCCTCAACAATTTGGAGTAGAAGATCCTGATGTTGTGAAGACAAAAGGGAACCCGGGACGGGCCTTGTCCAACTGTCGAAGACCAAGAAAATGTGGAAATTGCAAATGCATTGGGCACACAAAGCGAACGTGTCCTAAGGTTCGGTTTAGCCGAATAGTGGGTACTAACTCAGATGCAGATACACCCCACATAACTGACCGTGAGTACAATGCGGAGTCATTGCCCGTTCGCTGCAAAACTGGGTTGGTGAATCCAAGTACACCGCACATTAAGCAGCGACGACTATTTTTCGATGTTTCTCCTGATTCCAAGCAGCCTGCAGGCCAATATGGTAGTGTTGAAGCAGCAGTGTGCAAAAATGATTCGACCACAATTGATGAGGTGAATCAGGTAATTGTATAATTTGTATGATTTACTTATTCCCTTAATTTATTAGGTAGACAGTACTAGCTATTGAAAACACATGGAAATAATGTATGTAGTTTTCATTTTGCACGGATTGCTGTACGTAACGTGTAAATCATTGGTTACGTACAATGCCAGGAAATGGCACAATGTTACCTATGTACAAGGCCACGAGTTGTAAATTTTCCATATTGTTTAGAGTGATGTTGTCATTTGTGTTTGCAGTGACTTGTCATTTTGAAAACTAATTGAAGGTGAGATATATATGGATTGTCTGTATTGTTTTGGGTGGGAAATTGGCTTATGTCTGTATTCCAAGATTCCTATTGCGGGTTGCTTGTTTGTGTTCCATATTTGGTTGGATCTAACTGAATGGTTTTTTGCGGTGTGGTTTATCAACTAACGATGTGTTTGGCTTCGTATTGATTTGGTATGACTTGTTTCGGTAAATTAGTATTATATTTCGAGTAAAATTCAAATTTTGTCCATGTGGGTTTGCAAAATTACATACCAGCACATGCATTTTGTATATAATCCAAGTGGCAGTTAATTTTGGGTGTTACTTGGAGAAAGTAACCCAACGAACTTGTTACTTTATCTCCATGCCGATTGCTATATGAATTACGAGTTACGAACAGGAGTTGTGAAATTATTTCATGTTAACTATGAAAGTATGGGTTTATTGTTAGTAAAATTATGGTGGGCCTATATCGACAGCAACGAAGCAGTAATTTAAAGTTGACAAGTTGAAGAAGAAAATCAAGCAATTGTGGTATTGGTTCGAATGCATGAAAAGGATGAAGACTTCTTTCAATGAACTGATGGTAACAAAGTAGAAAGTATAAAGTAAGTTGTTGTGTTGTTGTGTTGTTTGTAAAAAAGTAGAAAGTAGAAGGAAAAAAACTACTCAGAAGTTGCAATGTAGAAAGTAAGTTGTGTTGTTATTCATGTCCTCTCTCTCTGCAAACATTCTGCCCTTTATAGCTATTATTTCCCACGACCCCATGATCTGTCGATTCTGCAACTGCTTCTGTGCAACTTCTGTAACTGCATGGTCATTTCCGTGTCTTCAAACCACATAAAACCTTTACTTGTATCTGTCGAAGTGCATATAATTGAAGTTGTCACTTGTGCCTAAGTCCTTTTAGCCTTTCCTCGACAGATACAGACTCCTAATTCGTTCATGTTTCCTCTTGGAGCTGGCCACTAAATCCATGAGCACTGCCAGTAACTGCTCCAGCGTGTAAGTCAGGTGGCATGCAAGATTCAATGTTAGTTGAATGGAGCAGCTGTTGGGAGGATGTGGGAAAAATAGGTGCAAAGAGGAATTTTTAATCTAATATCCAATAATAATTTAGCTGAAAATATGAGTGAATTTTTTTTAAAAAAAAAGTAGTTTCGGTTTTTTTTTATTACAAACCCGAGATGTATATTTGTTTTTGATGTAAATAAGTTGTGTATTTTCGTTACGTAAAATGTAGGACAACAACTGTGTTTAAGTCATTACAATACAGAAAAAGGTTATTTCAAACATAATTTCAAGTTTACCGACATTGAATATATTTTGATTAAATTACAGGGGAAATTAATATTTAGCAGAGTCTAATGATTCAAAGTCAGGGCAGTAACAGTGAGTGGCCAAGTGTTGTGGTTCAGTGGCCCAGTTTGCAAGGATTGTGGTTGTGTTTAGTGGACAATATTCTGTCGATTTTTGTCTCATAATGATGAGGGACATGCCCCACAATGGTGAAAAGGAAGGTTGACAGGGAAGAGTCAATATTTGGCAGAGTGGACTTGAAAATTCGAAGTCAGGGGGCAGTTACAATGGCAGTTATGGTGTAGACGTGTGGGATCATGCAATGATGGGCCACAAAAACAGTATACGGATATCGAAACGAACGATCTCCCTTCTAAGCTTTCCAAGTATACTAAACCTCTACTTCTATCTATCGATCTCCCTTTTCTTGTGTTTATTTCATGGCTACCAACTATTTGAAACTTCTGTCGACAGAGCAAGGCTCTTGCTTTGTCTCATGCTTCCTCCTGAAAGTGTGCCCACTAACTCATAATGATGAGGGACATGCCCCCACAATGGTGAAAAGGAAGGTCAACGGGGAAGAGTCAATATTTGGCAGAGGGGACTTGAAGATTCGAAGTCAAGGGCAGTTACAGTGGCAGTTATGGTGTAGACTTGTGGGATCATGCAATGATGGGCCACAAAAACAGTATACGGATATCGAAACCAACAATCTCCCTTTTAAGCTTTCCAAGTATACTAAACCTCCACTTCTATCTGTCGATCTCCCTTTTCTTGTGTTTATTTCATGGTCAGAAGCTGTTTTAAACTTCTGTTGACAGAGCAAGGCTCCTGCTTCCTCCTGAAAGTGTGCCCACTAACTTCATGACTGGTGCTAAAAACTTCCCCCATCACTTCTAGGTGACCCACATGCAGAGAGCCCACTTTGAAGTGGTGGACATTCCTTCAGACTTGGCCACGTGTCCTCGATTAAGTGGACCATCTGTCGATAGAGACTGGCAAAACTTGGTGCAAAGAATGGCCCCTTTGTTCAAGTTAAATATCATATGAATTAACCTTGCGGAAGTGATTGGGACACCCTCCAATCACCACCTGCACCCCCCCTTCTCCCCCCACACACACGTGGGGGCTGGTGATTGGAGGAGAAAGAAAAAAAAAGAATTTTTTTTTAAAAAAACTGGTCAATCAAAGAGAGAGGGGTCATGGGGGTGCCCCCTTGTGGGGGTCCAAGTCATATGATCTTTAACTTCAACAAGGGGGCCATTGTTTGGGCCCAATAGGAAATTTATTAGTACGGGCCCCATCATAAGCTATAAAAGACCCACCCTTTTAACTTCAAACCACTTCATTTCCCTCTGATTCGAACTCCCCAGGCTGTACTCTTTCTTCTCAAGCATTGCTGTTCAAAACCCGAGCACCACAAAACCCTAAGCCATGGCGCCAAATAAATCTCAACCATCACCATCTGAGGAGAACAATGAAGACCTACTCCGCTTCCCAGACCCTATTAGAGCACGTATCGGTCCTCTAAAATTTGGTGTAACCCTATTGCTCAGCACAAGCTCTGTCGCTAAGACTACTCTAGGCCCTACCTTCGCGTCTTACTTCCCAGACGAGCTAGCTCCATACTATCCCCTTGGTAATGGTGAGAACCTTCTTCTCAACCAACCTGGACTTAAGTGGACTAATTAGAATGTCAGCAAAAACCCACTCAAATCGTAGAGGTCACCAGACTCTGTTTGGCGAAGCTGGGCCAGGAGAATTGAAGGTCACGACGGTGAAGTATGGAAGCACCAGGGCATTAGTGAAGCAATTAGACTATCGACTAAAAATTATGACATGGACAAAGGGCTGATTACTGCTGCTGCATGCTTTTGGTCGCAATCTTGTAACTCCATACTCCTCAATTTTGGTATGATTTCCCCTACCATCTTAGATGTAGCTCACTTGACTGGTCTCCCAATCTTAGGCAATCCAATTCATGCTCTCCTTGAGCCTCCAAAAGTGAGCTTTACTTTAAACACTGACATGTGCTATATAGATTTCGCCCAAAAATACAAAGGTAAGCCTGGTTCCCCTGTCCACGACAAAGAAAGAACTGCTTTTTACTTACTTTGGCTTTGTGAGTTTCTTTTTTGTGTCCCTGGGTACAAGATCATGAAAGAGTACCTCCCCCTTGCCTTGTGTATGCAAGATGGCCAACTTATGGCTTTAGCCCCTTATCTTCTTGCCACCCTTTACAAGGCCTTATTTTCCTTTGTCCACAAGAAGATTTCTGGCAACTGTGGTGGCCCCTTCTGGCTCTTCCAAGCCTGGTTGTATGTCTATTTCCCTGAGGCACGACCCCCACCAGCTAACACTTTGAAACTTGTTTTCTACTCCTGTGCTGAGCAACTGCTCACTTATAACAGCAACCCATCCTCACTTTCAGAAATCAGCTTACCATGTTTTACAACCTTCATTCGAAGAGACCTTCCAACCTGTACATGTCATTTCAAAACTTTGAATTCTCCTCTAGCAAACTTCGCTTCCTCTTCGTAGACCATTCTGATTTACACAATGAGCAAGTCCAAGAACAAAATGAGACTTGGAGACACATTCTCACCTCTAGACATGTGTTGGTTGGCTGTTCCATATCCTCCGCCAAGATGTCCAACTGCAGTTTTGAGACATACTATCCCAATCAATGGTCTAGGCAATTAGGTCTTCCCCAAGGTATCCCTTATCCTTATTTCCACCCAACCATCCATTAGGAGATTGGCTCCAGAATCTTCTTCAAAGATCCTACGCAAGCTGAATCCATTTTGACAGAGAACACCAAACTTTTCCAAGATTTTGGCCCCTTCTTCTTCAAACCTACTGCGGACTACTCGACTGCTTTTGACCATTGGTGGGGACTTATGTTTGCCATTATTTTCTGTAAGCCACTTGAAACCTACCTTCACGACACTTGTATTCATAATCAGGGCCCCATATCCTCGTCTTCCAAGCTTAAGGCTGCAGGTATTCTTCCTTCATATATTTCATATCCCTGACTGTGTCATGCAAATTTTTTTTTTTTCTCTACAACACTAACTTGTTTAACCTTTGACAGCCAAAATTGGGCCTGCTGAACCATTGGTTAGGGACCAACATAAAGGCAAGGTTCCAATGGATCCAACTACTCAGACAAACACCCACTCAGTTCCGAAATTAATGGCAGACTCTTTCGCAGCCTCACAGACACAAGCACAGAGAGGAACTACCACCCGTACCTCTGCCGAGACAGAGGTCACGGCGAAGAAGAGAGAAGAGCCTTCCACTGCTCCTGCTCTAAGTACAGACCTAAGTGATTGGGATATCACTCTCAGCCAAATGGTTGGCCAAACAACATCAAATCCTTCAGGGCAGCTCTACCAAGTATGCCTTCACTTTACATATTTACATCATCTTAATTTCCATTCACGCCCGGCTGATCACTTACTTTTGTGCAGAGAAAAATAAGGAGATTACTCCTTACTGCTACTGATGATGAG